AGACAGTGCATGATATATCTCAACATGCACTCACTCTTACAAATAGAGTATAATCCGTATAAATTACTTTCAAAAACACTCAATCACGCTTTTTTTCACTCATGACAACGCACAACTTCTCCCTTGTACACACTGCCCCGACGCGTTTCCTTGCTGGTGTACCTCAGCAGACTCTTCAGGGGGCTATCGCCAAGACTTCACGACTTAGCAACAGTGAGATATTCTGCTCACCGTTAGTTCTCTTTAAATACTTAGTCTTGTGTTGCCTATGTAGGGATCGTCTCCTTTGAGCTCGTCAAAGGTTATGTGAGAAGCTCCTACCACTTCTACCCTCTCTATCCTATTCCTACTCTTCTCCTTTTCTCTTCTCCCCGTATCTGTATAATCTTCCCGACCTGATTCATTCTGAAGATTCTCATTCCTCCTTGTCCAGTCGTGCGCTCACCTTCCCGCCTTCTTCCTTCTGTCTCTGCCTCTCCCTCCATATCTTCACCTTCTCGTCCCGCCAACCATCCTCCCTTTTCGCTCCTTGCTATATAGGTGTTTGTTTTCATTGCTGGTTCGGCGTGATTCTCATATTGTCGAGCTTCCCCGGACGCTGAAATTCTTACCTTATGGGTATGGTCGGCGACGGGCTCTCCTAAGTTAGAAACAAGTTCTCTTCAGAGTCCTCCTGTTTTTTCAATTCTTTTCCTTGCTCCCGATCCTGGTTGATCTTCCCGGCTACCTGATTAAACTATCCTACTCTTTTAGACTATTACAGGCTTCAGACTTCTTCTTGAACACAGCCTCAAAAACTCCCGGCTTTCTTTCCTCCGATCCTGCATAAGGCGCTACTCATAGTCTCTATTCTTACATATAAAAACTGACAAACGACGGAAAAAAGACAAACGACCGAAAAAAACAAACAGAGCAAATCGTAAAAAATGCTAAAAGGACTCCCGCTTTTTTGTTTTCTATTTTGCGCCCCTTTCACGCTCAGCTACAATACGAGTAAAAGGAAGGACCAGAAAAGAAAGAGATTAAAGGAAATAACGAAAATAAATAAATAAATAAAATGGGAAGAGAAAGGGCCGAGCAAGAAAGGAAAGAAATAGAATACAGGGCGGAGGTACATATAAAAACAGATACTTTTCACCATCTTCATTTTCCTAAAAAATCCCGGTCCCTCCAGTTCATTTCCCTCTTTCGAAGCTCCAGATCCTATGTAATCCGGGGTACAAACTGGAGAGCGTAGCCCTCCAGTGACTCCCAGATAATTTGGCAAACTTTGCCAAAGCTCCGAGAGAGA